AAAAAAAAAAAAAAAAAAAACAGCTGTGGAGCATGGAATTTTGGTGGGTCGATCTAGCGGCCTGGCTCAGTTGGTAAGGCACGCAAGTGGCATTCAGGAGGTCTTGGGTTCAATCCCAATTGGCCTCGTGTACCTTCCTGGGCAAGCTTGGCGCCCGCCACCTAGAGATATGCCGTTGGTCCCCCCAAGTGGCATTAAAAAAGCAGTCTCTGCTGATGTTCATAGGGGGAGGGGTACTCAGGGAGGCACAGCGACTGGCCACTCAGATGATGCTCGGTCCCTCTGCTACCGGCTGTTCCCTGGCCGGTGTCCCCCGGTATGGGGTTCCCTGAAGGCTATCAGGCCACCCTGGGCTGAAAAGGCCACCCGGTGTCAGATTAGACACAAGATTGAATTTACCTGGGCTGGTTAGTCCACGATAATACCTCAAGGCCATCGCCCCTACAAAAAATAAAAAATAAAAAAATTTGGCGGGTCGACAACAAAAGTGCAGGGAGGCTGTCGATCGCCGGTCAGCCACCGTCCTGGCTGCGCCCCCACGCCCAGCGTGGTATCGGTTCTTGGGGTGTGGGCACACGAAACGAAAACGAAACGCATCTTCCCATGAAAGGTGGAAAAGTACAGTAACCAACGAACCTGGCCATTTTCTGCAGGAAGATGCACTCGTCTCGTTTTTCGTTTTGTGTGCCGTGCCGCGACGCCCTTCTTCTGCGAAAGGACAAAAAGGGAGAAAAAAAAAAGCGAAAAAGAAAAGACCAGACAACCCTCTCGCATCCCCTCCCGCCCTGCTATCTCGTCCGCCCTTCCTCCCAAAGAGGAAACAGTGGACGCGGAGGTCGCCCGCTCACCGACTGGTCTTAGACTTGTGGGAGACCGGACCCTTCGACGTGAATTTCTAAAGCCCGTATTCTGCCCAAAAAGACCCTACCAAAGCTTCATTCCTACCGACGACAACGACAAAAAGACAATGGCAATAGACGCAGCCTTTTGGCTGCGAACTGGCCGCGAAACTGCCAGAGATCGAACACACAACCTTAGCGAACGGGCGTCCTTGACTCCATCAATGCCAGAATTCACGCCGGAACGGGGTCCGATCCCCGCGAAAGTCCGACAAACGCCAACTGACCGACCTCAGCTGGTACACCCATGGGGCCTCGCTGCACTACTCTTGAACTTGAAATGCACAAAAGACAAAAATCATGGCCGTGTATCTCTCCATGTTGTAGCGGAAGATTCACTCTCGTTTTGCACATTTCCAGAGTAGTGCAGCGAGGGCCATGGACTGTTGAAAGGACTGTTGAAACGCCGTCCTGAGTTCGAATTCTAGTGCCTTAGGAAAGGAAGCCCGACGAAATACGCTGTCACCCCCCTCTTGTTAGATCCTCTCCTGTTTCGTCAACGGTTTACCAGGCATGTCGATTTTTTTTTTATTTTTTATTTTGATACGTACATATACATATATGTACAGTACAAATACATATACATATATATACAGTACAAAGACATATATGTATATATCTACATATCTCTTCCGACGACTATATGTTTACATATATATACATATATATATGCGCGCATTAACAGGAGTTGCTTGCCGGAGCGAAGGCGGGTAGACGTCGATCCTTTTATCACGGTTTTTGGCTCTCTAGTGGGCACACTAGCACTTTCCAGGATGCATCCGAGTGCAATTACGGCGAGGCGAGGATGAACCAGACCGCACTCACGTCTAGAGCTTTGTGGAAAAAGTCCTCGCGTGAGTGTGCCCTAAGTGGGCGGTGGTCGTCTGAGAAGGCGAGAAGCGCTGAGGAGGGTCGGGTGTCCAGCTGTGGGTGCAATACAGCATGAACTATGATGAAGGAGAGGACGATGCTCTACTGTAGTAGTGGGACACCATCACAGATGGGCTTACACTGTCGCCACATCACTCTCGAAATGTGGCGGGCGCATCTGGGCATGTTCTAGGAGGAAGTTCATTCTCATTTTTTGCACATTTCGAGAGTGATGTGGCGATGCTCTTACACGGATCTAAAGAAGAAAAAAAGAAGGAGGACTGAAATAAAGAAATAATAAAGGGAGGGAAGACAAAGGTGTAGTGAATGGCTTCACGAACAAGCAGAAAAAGGGGAGGAGACGCTTCCAGAGAGATCGAAAAGAAGGGGGAAGGAGGACAAAGAGGGGGAGGAGAAGGGGAACGTAGAGGAGGAGGAGGAGGAGGAGGAGGGGGGAGAAGGAGGAGAAAAAGTAAGGGGTCGGGAATCGCGGATGCTGATGGGCGAGCTTATGACACGTGGCGGGAGCACATAAACCCTAATGTTGATGTCAGGATCAACGAGGAATCCACGTCATTTGTGTCGATTAGAACGTAGTAATAGATCCATTGGTGAGCGTGAAAATGGCGTGGTCGATGCGAACAATGTCCACCATCATGCCCGGAGTAGTGGAGGAGGAGGGAGAGGAGCACCAGCAGGACCAGCAACAGCAGCAGCACCCGCTTCATCGTCGTCTTCATCGTCTTCCCCATCATCTTCGGCGCCATCGGGGAAGGAAATCACTCGTAGAATCTCAGAGAAGAAGAAGAAGCAGCCATTGCGCGACCTCGGTCTGCCCCTAAGATTGACGGTCAGCGCCCGCGTAAAGCGTATTACCCCTCCTGTCGTGGTTTTATGGGCTCACGACCGGCCGATCGGGATACCAATGAGTCGCAGCGTCATCAACAAGTACAATCTCGCCGACCTGAAGGAGCACTTCGCATCCATTTTGGGCCCGAAATTAGCGGAGTATTGGAGCATACTGACCAAATTTCTCAATTGCAAGCTCAAGAAGAATGAATTGGACGCTCTGGTGGCAGCGTGCATCGGGAGAGAGAACGTGAAGTTGCATAATGACTTCATCAGGGCGATCTATGCGAATGCGTTTCTCGGGAAAGAAGCGGGAGAGGAGGGCGCGGCGGCGAGAGGGGCGGCGGATGATGGGGCGGGAGCCCCATTGGCGGAGGCCCCGCAGAGGGACGGAGGTGCGGGGGGAGAGTGCCAGCAAGAGGAGGTCGCAGCTGCGGCGACAGCTGGCTATCAGGCACAAGAGATAGATGAGGGGGTAGAAGCGGCGAGGGGTGGTGGTGTACGCGAGAATGGGATCGTGTCGGGGACAAGATGGGCAGCCGGCGGCGGGATTGGAGGGGGAAGGCGGTCGGGTGGGGGAGCAGCGGGAAAAGCGAAATGCGGGGTGGTGGGGGTCGGAAACTGGGGGGGGGGGAGCAGATCCTCCGCCGCACCGGGCGGTGGAGGAGGAGGAGGAGGAGGAGGAGGAGGAGGGTCGGTCCGATTCGAGAGTGAGCGGGAAGCCTCTATCGAGACGGTTTCGCGGAGCAGTCCGGCGTCGTCCAGTGGGGGCCAGAACAATAGCAGCAGGATCAATGGGGAAGGAGGGGGAGGGGGCGGGTCTTCCCCGCGAAAGTTTGCAAGCCAAGGTCAGCGATCTTCCTTGAGTCGCACCCGCGACCCAGCGAAGCGAAGGAAAAGGAGGGACCAGCCATCTTCTGGAAGATTGGACGGGAGCGGTCGTTCGACCCCTGCAGACGGAAATGGCATTCCCTTYGACACTGGTGTTGCCGGYATCGGGGGTCCCGATAGCGGTAGCAGAGGAGGAGGAGGAGGAGGTATAGGAAGAGCAAGGGKGGGGGGAGAGGGAGGAGAGGTTCTGGGGTCGGAAGACAACTGCGTAGCACCGTCGATTACCGTGGCTAATGGCCACTGTAACAATTACCCGGCGGTTGCGGCGTCATCGCTGGCAGGAGTAGCCGACACAAGGAGGACCAGCGCGAGAGAGCAGGCAACGGATCTGGCGTCGTCGGAGGATGGACCATTGCCACCTTGGAAGCGCAGCAAGGTGGGTCGGGAGAGAGAACCGCGCGCGCACGCGGTCGAGAACAACAGCTCCCCTGTCTGGGATCCGCTGGATGCGAAGAAGTCGAATGGGCAGCTGCGTGCTGACGACGGAAGGCCACGTGTAGCGTCGTCGACGCACCAGCCAGGTTCAGCGATTGACACGTCACCGGACGTGAGAAACGTAACTGACAGGCGGTCGATCAGGGAGGAAGGATATGCGGCGATCGACCAACAAAGAGAGAGAAGGAAGAAGGGGGTTGGGGTCGGGGGAAGAGCGGTGCAGACGGGTGAGGAGGTGCAGGAGGAGGAGGAGGAGGAGGCGGTGGCACAGGCAAGCGGAGTGGGACAGGAGGAGGAGGAGGAGGTGAAGGAGGCTGCAGCAGCACCTGTCGCAGTAGCTGGACTACGAGCAGTCGGCGACGGGGTGGCCGAAGCAGAATCAGCCCGTGGAGGAGCAGGAGGATCTGTAAAAGGAGAAGAACGGGAGGGAGGGGATGCGCTGACGTGTCCGTTCTCAGAACCCACGAGACCCCCGTTAGGGCTGCCGTTCTGCTCGGCTAGTCCCGGCGGCGCAAGGCTTCCCCGTCCACGTGGCGTCGTCTCTGACTTGGCGTTTGATGGATCTTGCGCTTCTGGAGAGCTTCCTGACGTGGCCTCGCTAGAGACAAGAATGCAGCGGTTTGCTCAGTCCGGGGGCTTGCAAGGCGTGACCAAGGAGAGTGTGCTTGTGATGACCAAAGCGGTCGAGCACTACCTTAGGGCTATAATGGCTAGTTGCGTTCAGCGTGCGCGCGAGAGACGCTACAGGGAGGAGGAAGAGGGGGAGGGGGGGGAGGGGGAGGGGATGGAGATGGAGCGACCACCCCGAGCGTGCTGTGAGGGAGATCCTGACAGTAGATCAGGAGGAGGAGGGTCGTTGGGAGATGTCGAAGGCAGAGGAGCAGTCGCAGTCAGGGGGGTATTCGGCCGTCCGGATGGGCCGAGTTTGACCGCAATGGAAGAAGACGTTCGTGGCCGTAGCAAAGGGGGTGGATGCGAGAAAGCCGACGAAGGGGCGGGGAATGGGAGAGAGGGCGGCAATTGTACCCCCCGTGGGCGTCAGGCGCGCCATCGCTATTACCATCATAGACCGGATCCTTTGGATTACGTTCCTTTTCCTCCCGTGTTTCCCGCACCTGCTCTTGTGCCTGCGAGGACGACACGTCGAGGGATCCCGATAGTCGTACGGCAACGATCGGGAGAATGTAGTAGCAGTAGCACACATGGCGAGCAGGCGACGACGGTCCTTTCCGAACGAGCTGATAGGGATCCCGACACTCGTACGGCGACGATCGATGTGAGTGATCTGCTCACGGCGGTGGAGGAGAGCCCTTATCTCCTAGGAGGGGAGAGGGCCATTCAGATCGAAAGGATATCTCTACTGTTGCAGTGCACGGTAGCAGCTGAAGAGCTGCCATTGCCATTGAATCTTGTCAAGAGCTACCCGTGCTCATTTCTACAGCGGCCCGGAATATACTTATCTAGAAGGGAGGGAGAGATGCCTTCAGTCCCCCCCCATAAACTGTCTCCCCCCCTCCACGTCCCGCGACGCCTCTCTCCTCCCCATGATGTTGTGTAAAGTGACAACGAGTGTTTTTTGTTTTTGTGGAACCTTGATTGGAGTCAGTAATTTCTATCTGATGAGAGTTGAGTAGGTTGTCGGGGTCCCGACTCCAATTACTGGGTCTGGTGATCAACAGCTTTCTATTCTCTGCAATCAAGAAGGGAGTTTGTCTGACCTGCTGGCAGACAAGCTGTTAGACAGTACAGACTGGATAAGAGGTCGGGTTTGACACGTGTCAATCGGACAGAAGGTTGTGTTTGACACGTGTCAAACCTGACTTGCAGTGCAGATGTCCCGGATTATTACCGCAATCGCCATCACCATCTCCACCATGGTCATCGTTGTCAGCATTATCATCAATGTTATCATCTTTTCGTCATGAATTGCTCCCCGAGACTTCCTCCTGCTGCTATTTTTAGATGATGTTGTGCAACGTTTGACCCCAGGTAAGGCTACCTTCACATCCTGGATAGAGACAGAAAGGCACGAGCAGACTCGCACTCTCACACACACTCACACACACACACACACACACACACACACACACACACACACACGCACACACACACACACACACGGAGACAGAGAGAGAGAGAGAGAGAGAGAGAGAGAGAGAGAGAGAGAGAGAGAGAGAGAGAG